ATTCTATGAATTCGATTAAGAGGGAGATAAAATGATGTGTGTGTGTGTGTGGTATAAAACGAAGAAACAAAAATAATAAGAAAAAAAAATCATTATAGAACTCATTTTAGAAATTGTAAGGACATGTATAGAAATAAAGGCCAGAAAAAGATTAAACATTCCGACAAAAAAATAAACTAAAAAAAAACTTTTTAATTCCTATGAAACAAAAAAACACATGCCGAATGTAAAATTCACCGCAACAACACACACCGAGACAAATCCCCGAACAAGAAGCGAACTTAAATGATTTCTAATTGCACTAAATACACAGATTAAACAAAAGGGTGTCATTTTATTTAATCTTATTATACACTAATTTGCTTTTTACGATGACAACACCAGAAGAAACCGAAAAAAATTCGCAAAATTTCAATTACAAATTGAAAACAAAATGTTGATACGAGAAAAAAGAAAATCGATTCGAATGATTCAAATTTCACAACTCCTTCTGCTAAGAGTTTATTGCATGAATGTACAAAAAATGAGGAAAAAAAACACTAAGAAAGGCAAAAACAATTTATAAGAAAAAATCGATCTATTATTATTATGATTATTATTATGACCCTAATTATTATTATTAAAGAAAAAAAACACTTATTGATTAAATTTACGGATTATGGACTATATTGATTAAAAAAAAACAAAACAAATGAAGCCACTGAGACACAGAAACTACACACAAAAACTACCAACAACAAAACAACTGAGGATAATAAATTTATTTAATAATAAATACTCTTTGAAAAAATAATAATTCGCATTTGGTTTTTCATTTCATTTCTGAAATTTCTGCTCATTTTTGATTTCCTTGTATACATGATTTTTTTTGGTTCGACAGCGGGTGTTGTTCAGTCTCTTCTTTTTTGGGTTTCAGTGTCAGTGATAGGCATGACAATTAGCCGTCGGTTGGATTATTGTTGGCCGTCTATCATTTTTCCAGTTATTCAGTGTGTTACACCAAGTGTCAAATGGACAGTTTTATGCTGATTTCTGAGATTTAAACGACGAAGAACGAATTTTCTGGTGAAAACGACCACTTACAGTGAGAGACAGAGAGTAAACGAGAGAGAGATAGACACAGAGAGATACAGACAGCGCCCCAAAAAAACATCGATGGATGCAATAGTCACAGTTTATGACTTGTGTATGATTGGAAATAGTAATGCCAGGCATTTTCGTCAATTAGCACGGAGTTTTTCGACAAATCTCCTATGTTTATGCTTGCTGTTAAATGCGTTAAATATCGAAATTCTGCGAAAGGACAACACTAAAACGATCCATCGTAAGGAACATACGCACAGAGGCTGTGTGAAATGTTATTGCTTTTGGGTGTATAACTCTTGCCGTTTCAGCCTAAGTGTGGTAATGTTTATGATCTTGCTGTGTAAGCTTTTTTTCTCGTTTCTTTATCTATCTTTTGGTTCGTGTGTCGACGAGTGTAGGTGCAAGAGGACTTTTTTTCGTTGCTGTGAGTCTCAGTATGCAAACGACCAAAACGAATTGGTTGACTCTCTCTTCGTGCATTTGGCAAGTATCGACAAGACATTTTACTCCCTCGTTCTTTTTCGTTGACTTTAGTGCCGGTTTCACAGCAGTTTGCCAACGACGATATCATGGTATAGAGATCTGTTCGAAGAAATAATACACTTAACCAAGAAAAAGTGAGAATTTATTTGCGGCAATATAATTTGTTGTTTTATGACCGAGCAAAACAGCACAGCCAACACATGCACAAGCCGTCAACACATTCACATTTCTCTATCTACACGCTGACTTTAGCATTGCATTCTTGCCAAAAATGTATCAATGTCAAAACGGACATTTACTTGTGTGTCAATTTTCTAGAAACAACAATCACACCTAATCCAAATCGAACACACATTTTGAAACAACATAATTGTATAATCTTCAAATGACAGCGATTTTTTTTTTCGTTGGCCGAATTTTTTTAGATTTACTTTTCCAATAAAAGTAAATTGATTCATTTTCCAACATAAACGAGGGACTAAAGCATCGTGTATTTATCAAAATAACTGTTAAAAGTGAATGCGCGCGCCGCAAGCGCAGGGCACGATCGTTTAAGCTGTGTTTGGCCATAAAAATCGCTGTAAATAATTTATTCTTCCATTTAATTTTAGCAATAAAATCATATGGCGATGTGCGTAATAAAATCGACACGAAAAATTACTTTGGACCGTCATAAAAACGTCCGCTCAACTATCATCATTCACACCTCGGAAACTAGTAAATAGTAGCGGTGTGTGTATCAATTCAGAGCGTTTTTTTTTCGATTCGACAAACAGAGAGACAAAAAACAATTTGATTGGCTTCACAATGAGCTGAATGGTTTGAAAAAATATATAATTTTTTATGAAAGTTAAAAGCATCATCAATATCGCTGATTGTAAATTTATTCATCTGTCATTAAAAAAAAAATTTGGTTTGTGTACGTATCGATCGGTTTTCGTTGTCGAGGAGAAATTCTATGGGGCCATAGAAAGATTGTAGCAAGAGGGAGCCGGGAACAGTAGAAGAGCTTGAAAAACCAAAATATTTTTGGAATTTACAACTGAAAATAGCGAACAGGCGTCATGCATTAACGGTAGACCGAATAGTAATTGAGCTCACACTGACAGCGAACGGGTGAAACAAAGAGCCAGCGCCAAATTCATTTAAATTTGAATGCACATACCTTTTGTTCTAATTTGATCAAATGAGTTGTTCTTTTTTTTGTGTTAGTTATACCTTGTTTGTTTATCGCTCATCATCGCACATCATAGATATCTATCTTGATTGGCTTCGGAACAAACAGAAACCAGAAAAAAAACGTTTGAAGAAGATGATGAAAAGTTGTAAGCAAACACTTTCAGATCGATTGAAATCATCTAGAAAACATGAATTTGCGTAAGATAACAATAACGTTGAAATCATGCCGTGATATTGGTCATCGATACTAAACAGTGTAACTGGTTCGTTTGCGACATTCGATCGGGTCATAAACTAAAAATTTTATTCGATTTGATTCTACGATCGATAAATTATAAAAATTCCGATTAACGCCCTGTCTAAAGAGTCTTTTGAGCGTTTTATTAAATACACTCTCTCTCTGATACGTTTTCCTTAGAACGATTTTTTATCGACTTCAGGAGATAAGAATATTTTTTTGTGAATTTATTATCATTTTAGTTCACATTTCATCTTGCCCTGGCTTTTGAATGTGAGCCAAAAGCCAGTTTGAAAAAGAATAAAAATAGTTACAACGTTTAAAAAATTCTCTCATGCTGACTTGTATTGTGTCAAAAATAAACTCGCTATAGGCTGACTGAAGATAATTTTACAATTTGCAAGCACATCGTTCCGATAAAATTGCAAATCAAAATCGTAAAATCACTTAATTAGATGTTGGATGAGGGTTTTTGTTTTTGTTTTAGGGAGATAATAAAAAAACAAACGTTTCGTTTTATCGTGAACGGTGAAAGAGAAGCAACCGAATTGAATTTTATGGTCTTTTGACGTATTTGTCATCACTTGATCGTCGTAAAAATGATGCATTCACCAATCAAAATGTCAAAACAGACATTAAAACTCGAGAATTGATCGGAAACTTGATTTGAGAAAAGAAAAGTTGGCAACTTAATCAATGGTTCATCTGGATGACATCAGAAAATCAACGCAACAGTTTGAGTAAAATAGAAAGGAATGGCGCTGCGACGAAAGCAATTAAAAAAATAATTTGATGAAGTGGGTGCGGTGCGGCTGAATGTGATTAAAACAATTAACAATTTTGTTACGTATTTTTTGTCCCTATATTCTCTGTCACCATCCCAAAAAGCCAAATCGAATACACAACGAAAAAAAAAGCACAAACTTTTTTCACTCTTTCCACAATCAACGTGTGTGAATTTAACGAGTTGATTTTCTTGCGCGCAATGACATAGAAACGGAGTGACAACACACACACAGCCACATGCAAATGAATTTGAAACAGGGAAAAGGCATTGAGTAAATAATGAATAAAACAGCGGCGCGCGGCTCAATTGTTCATTTCATCATTTTGCTTATTTATAACATTTTTTTGTTGCTGTTGCTGTTGTTGTTATTATGTGCTCAAGCAATAGAAGAGAAAGAAGCTAGCACCAGCTAACACGTACAACACTCGAGAGCGCCAACAACGAATCCATTTTCGATGCGATGGTATTTTTTCCCATCCATCGCAACGCCGCTCTCGGTTCTGTTGTATGTAACTACCTATAGGAACTGTGTGTGGATGTGGAGTGAAAGAGAATTCATATGTGCATATCGAACGATGATGCGCGCATGTCAGCGGATAATCAATATGGAACATAAAATGAGTTGATGATGAAATGCCGTCGCCGCCGCCGCCGCCGCCGCCGCCGCCGCCGCCGCTGTTCGATGTGTTGTGAAAACAACGCGCAAACACTTTGTGTGCAACACCATCATCATTATTATCGTCATCATCATAAATTGAAAACTCCATCGTTGCTAATTCATCTCTCAATGCACGG